AGCGTCTACCCCCTGGTGGTCAGTGCGTGTCATAGCTACCGGTCGAAAGGTCGCTTAGGCTTTAATATATATATAGATGGTTTATGACAGGAATGACTCATTAGTCCTCTTTTGTAGCTAAGGCAGTGGTTCTCAACCTTCCTAATGCCGTGACCCTTTAATACAGTTCCTCATGTTGTGGTGACCCCCAATTTCATTGTTACAAATTGAACATAATTAAAGCATAGTGATTAATCACAAAAACAATATGTAATTATATGTGTTTTCTGATGGTCTTAGGCAACCCATGTGAAAGGGGTGTTCGACCCCCAAAGGGGTCGCAACCCACAGGTTGAGAACCGCTGTAAGTGCACCTGAAGGGAGATGCAAATTTTACATCCCAACACAACACACACACATAAGTGCATTTATAAAGTTAAAACACAAGTTTATGGAACCATATTACTCTCACAATGTGTGATGTCTTTATTCTATTCAACAATTATTATTTTTCTTAAATATATTTTTATTGACTTCAGAGAGGAAGGGAGAGGGAGAGATAGAAACATCACTGCTGAGAGAGAATCGTTGATTGGCTGCCTCCTGCACGCCCCCTACTGAGGACCGAACCCGCAAAGCAAGCCAGGCATGTGCCCTTGACCAGAATCGAACCTGGGACCCTTCAGTCCGCAGGCTGATGCTCTATCCACTGAGCCAAACCAGGTAGGGCTCAACAATTATTCTATTCTATTATATTCTGCCCTACTCTGGGAGATAGAGGAAGAAAGGGGCTGTGGGAGGGGGTGGGTCGCTCACAATCACCTCACAATACTTTTTGAGGGAGAGTTTCTTCTGAGACCAACTGCAGATGCTCTGCTTGTTCCCCCAGGTGTCTCCCCCAAGGGCCCTGGGCTCAGAGCCCTATTCACCCCGTATCCTCCTGGGAGAAACCAGACTTGGCAGAACCTGGCAAACCTCGGAGAAAGTCCCTCGGTCAAAGCCCCTGGATTTACAGGGAGCAAAGTGCCGCTCAGGGCTGCCGTTGCTGTACCTCTGTCACGTCCACATTCAATCCCTTCCTCCTGGGCTCCCTGGCCATGGGCTCTGTGGCACTGAGTCTTAGGAACTAAGCCTTCGGTGCTGCGGAGGTGGCAGCACTGAGGGTACCCCAGAATCTCGGGCCCAGGGTCTGGCAGGTTCCAGGCACGTGACTGAACAGGTGAGACCCCCACTGCCCGGTGGGAGGAGCAGGGGTTTGGAGTCAGACCTGAGGAGAGCAGTTCTTTGCCAAGCGCTCACGGCTGTGTGATCTCGGGTAAGCCACTTCTCTGAGCATCAGCTCCTTGTCTCTAAAATGGGGATGATGGTTTCTATTCTGCAGGGTTGGTGTTAGCAAAAATGTTTACAAATGTCTGGCACATCGTAGGAATTTAACAGATAACACTGTTATGATTATTGTTAATGGTAATTGCGATGATACTACAGAGAAGGTCTCAGAACAGCACTCCAAGTGTGGGTTATTATTACTCACATTCGGGGGAGGTTTGTCTGCCATTGTCTTCATCCTCATAAACATCTGGGGGAGGAAACAAATTATAAAGGTAATAAATAAATGGCTTTAAAAGGAAACACAGAGCAAACACACACACACACACACACACCAGAAAAACCACTCCAAACATACAGGCCCTGGACAGACGTTCAACGTGAGTACAGTAATATTTTAAGTGATGGCTGCATTCTTAGAAAATGAGCCGAATGGTGCGTTGGCTCCAGTACCAGCCAAGGTCTGGCAGCATGTTGGGAAGATACTCTCCAGTTCATGTACCAGAATGAGCGTAAAGCATCTTGGTGGAGAAGGGCAAGAAGGATGGGAAAGGTGGGCCATGAAGACTCACGCCGGTCAGGACTGGGGTGGCTGCTCTTCCCTCAGCGGGCGATCTTTGCAGCACAGAGCACCTACCTCCAAACTGGTTTGGGGAACTTAGGTGTAGTTTTAGCACTTAATGTTTAGAATCCTACTCTTTTAGTTTGCTTAAACTACTCAATGAAATTTGTTAACAAGTAAACCCATTAGTGAGTTTAAATGTTTTGGGGAAATTACCAACTTTGGTGATGAAACTATGGCTTTTCCCTTGCTGTCCACTAGATGGCACAAAGGGACCACTGTAGCTCCAGTGAGTTCGGCGGCAGCTCCTACCCCACAGGGCAAACGATTTTTATTTTCTTTCAAACTAGCTTTTTCTCTGTTCCTTACACTTTGCAATGGCTTCTTAAGGACCATCTCTATCACATAAACTGACGTACATCATTTTCACTTGGGGGATGGGGTGGTGGTGGTGGAGAGCTGCCTTAAAGTAATGCCCAAGCCCCTGGAGGAACAAGTGTGGGGAACTAGTTGCGAAAGATCATATGCTAACAAAATGCCTAAGTCATCTCATTTAATCCTATCGGCAAGACTGTACAGCATTACCTCCGTTTTATAAAATGAATGATGAAAAGACCTTAAGCACAAAGAGGTTAAGTAATTCACCCAAAGAGATGGAGCTGGATTTGAGCTGGGTCTGTAAGCCTTCAGTGCTCGAACCCTTAACGGTTGTGCTGTGCTGCTGACCGAGCTCCTTCTTGGCCATCTAGGGGTTAACGCAAGGGGTCACTTCCTGCCTAACCCATCCCAGGAGCTCTCCAGAGTTCACAAAGGAGCTCTCTCTAGGATCTTTCCATGGGTACTAGGCTGGATGAATATCGTTTGCTTGGTGGCCCAGAGTGTAAACTTGGACATCTAGGCCAGTCTATGTCTGAAGCTTCCATTTCCTTTGCAAACCTGTCTTTGGCCCAAAGGAAGGGAATCACTCCTAAGCATTCAATCAATAGTTCTCAGATTTCACATATTCTTGTGGCCTCCTTCCCACCCTCCCTCCCTCCCACCTTCTTTCCCTTCCTTTCATGCATTTTCTGTTGCTCAAGTCTCTGCCAGCTTCTAGGGAAGTCTGAGCTGGCTGTCTTAGTCTTTCAGAGCTACTAAGAACTGGAGTCAAAGAAATGTTACAATTGGGAAACCACCTCTAGCTCAACAACCAGATGCTCTCAAATGTCTGGGTTGGAGTAAGCCCATAGTGGGGTGGGGGGTGGGGTGGGGGGAGGACAAGCTGATGTCTCTAGTTGAGTCTAGTCAAAGCCTTGCCCATTTCCTCAGAGATTTGATGGGAATTTTTCAGTAAAACTAAAATACAAAGCTCCCCCTCCCCCCAATGTGTATGGCTCCAATTTTTTTTAAATATGCATTTTTATAGACAAAATGTCTGAGGTAAAATATTTACAGTGGTTTCTAGGTTATGTCTGATTTGCATTTCTGTATATTTTAAACGTTTGATAATCTACATATATATTCTTTTTATAAGTAGGAAAGGAAACTTAAAATAGTTAAAACCAATTGATCAAGCATCTAAAATAACCTGCGATCTCACCAGAAATGACTGTTTGCTAGAACTTATTTTCTTCATCATAAGAGTGCATGAAATAATTTTGAATAACAATAAGATAATAATAAAAATAATGAAAGTAACTACATTATCTAGATATGAAAGGAATTCCCACAGGTATCAGCAAACAACCCTTAAGTGCTATACTAGAGGGTTATAGGTATTAAAGCAGTTCTTGGCTCCACCAATACCCTGAGGGACCAGATAAGGGACCCACAATTAGGCCTGCACCCTGCAGGGGAGGGTGGAGCCAGGGGGGCTGTGACTTAAAAGGGTTATAGACAGGCTCTTCCTCTGATACCTTTGGGGCAGAATGGTTATTCAAATGTTATGGATCCTTCAGTGGCCAAGGCTTTGCAAATCGGGGACAAAAACTGAATTCAGAATTCAGAATTTTCAGCACAATTCAAGCTAGTAAAATACTCCTACTTAATTCTCTTACATTCCCCAGTAGCACCAGCAATAGCATGTTCATCTGTTCTGTGATTGTTCCTCATGACGTTGCTTGGGTTCTCAGGAGAATTCCCACCTACAGCCTTCCCCCACCCAGGCTTATTGCTACTGGCAGGAGGAATCCTAGCACCATGTCCTCATGCCAGTAGACGGCAGGCAGAGAAAGGAGTTGTCACGCTGGAGGGAATAATTGTACTGATCATCATGAGGGTGTCGGCTGTTACTAGAGGAAGGTGTCTGGCATCTGGTGTCTGGTGACTCACCAGGACATTTCACAACCCTCTCATGTCATCACTTGTAACTGTAAATGGGCAAATGAAAGAGAACAATGGCCAGACAAGAGTCTGGGGCGCCCACTACACATATCATTAGTAGAATTGCCAAAGAAGAAGGAGGGTGAATGGTGGGAGGGAGATGATGACTGAAAGACAGAACCCAAGGACCAACAGTAGCAGCAGCAGGTGGGAGGCAGAGATTTAAGTAGGATTCTTACTCTGCCCCCTGGTGAAAATATCTTTCTTGGGAACCACTCCCTCTAGATCCACTGAGGGACGGGGAGGACAAATTCCCCATGTGGATATTTGACAGGAGTGTGATAATGAATAAGGTCACAACTCATTTGACCTCTTGGCTCCCAGATTCATATATTCTGCCTCCTGGGGGCCTGGTGCCATTGGTTTAAGGTTAGCACCCCACCCTGCAGTGTCATGCCCAATGCTGCTGCTCGTCCTCGCTTTCCAAAGGCTACTCCACGGCTGGCTGCTTCTGAGAGGGGTGATCTATGCACACACTAAATCTCTCCATCAAAGCAATGTTCTATGGTTGATCAGACACCACACAAGTCCCTACAGTGATGCTCACTGAGGCACTGTGGGCAGGAAAGCACACGTGTCAACCCCACTCAGGATGAATCGCTGTACTTTCCAGCCTAGAACGGGTCTCATGAAATCAACTCATGGGATGGTATCCAACTGGGGCTCAGCTTAGATCTCCGTGCTGGTGGTTGGACAGTCAACAGCGGAATTGCTACATCGGTCTGGATGGCAGGGAGCCCATGCTGCTGGACCAGTGCCCAGCCTCCCATTCTGCTGCCAAGACTTCTCCATTTAGGAGCCCACTGTGCAGGCACTGGGTGCTGAGGGAGAAGCTGGCTGGCACTTGCTGGCCAAGCCATCCAGTGCCCTTGTTGTTTGGTACCTTTTCTGCAATGGATATTCTCTGGTGGGCATTCATGCATGACTCAAAGATCCTCACATTTTGAGCTTATGTCCATACGTCCATGGGTCTCTTCCCAGTCAGATCATGTTGTAATTTGATGTTAGCTATTGTTCTGAGGGAGGTCAGGAGTTTTCTGCATAATCTTGGGGGGCGAGGGGAGGAGAAGGGTCTATCTTCCAACAAGGGAGAGTGGGCCACATCTGCCAGCCCAGGGGAGCAGGGACATGTAACCACACTCCTCATCCCAAGTTTTAGGGCCCCATGTCTTTCCTACCAGGGCCTGCCTTACCTGCTCATCTGTTGGCACCAGGAGCCCAATCTGGTCAGCAGCAGACTTGCCTTGAATGGGAATTCATCCTTCTCTCAAGTACTGTGCTTTAGGAGATAAGGGGCTGAACATGGACAAAGAGGTCCTCCGCGTCTCACACTGTGCTTTTCAGTTGGTGATGAATCTGAGCCTGTCACTCTTTTCAGTACACCAGTGGTGCTTAGCAATAGCAGCCCAATTCCACAGTCCTGGCAGTTGATATTTCCCCCAAACCTCTCAGACACTGCACCAGCTGGCACATCCCTGTCCACCTACTTCCGATCCCAGGTCACCACAGGTGAAGGTCTTAGCAAATGGACTGCTGCAGCCGGCCAGGAACCAGGGCTCTCCATAGCACTCATGATGGGGTGGCCAGCAAGTAACCCAACACCAGAATCCCATCCTTTCTAGGACCTTGACTGGTGCTAACAGTTTTAGGTCAGGTTTCTCAGAAGCAGATTATGCAAGCAAGTTATAGAGAAAGGGCTTTTACTAGTAGATGAAACTGTGAGGCAATGAGGGCAGAGACAGAGAAGGGAGGAAGCCAGTTACAGGCGTGGGTTCAGTTGATGTCTAACATCAGCCTGATGCCCCGGGAAACCCTAGGGCAGGGATGGTACCGCACATGTCCCATCTTGAGGCAGACGAATCAGTCAGTCATTGGCTGGTGCCAGTTATTGCTCTAGAAGAGGTCAGGAAAGGAGGCGGGACACACCCCTCACAGGAGGCCATCACCACTGAGGAAGTGTCTGGTGACGGGGTTCTGGGGCAATTCTCAGAATGCCACAGCGGTGAGCTGTTAGCAGCTAACCGCACAGCAGCTGAACGAAGGGTGCCCGCGCCTGATAAAAAGAATTGGGCAAGGTGTCAACAGCCTCTACTGTACCACTGTGTGTGGGCTTTCTTTTTTTAAAGAAAAAAATTTAATAGATTTTAGTTTTAGGTTTACAGAAAATTTGAGCAGAAAGTACAGATAATTCCCATATAAACCATCTCCATTCTCTCCTCACACAGCTTCTCCTATATTAACATCTTGTGCCCAGCCCGTGTGGTTCAGTGGTTGAGCTTTGACCCATACACAAAGAGGTCACTGGTTCAATTCCCAGTCAGAGCACA